ATGTGCAGAAAAACTTAATATATAAATTATATAATATTATTATAAAATTAATTCCGATAATTTTTGCACCACGCGCGATCTTTCAAAAGAGTTAATTAACTATGGAAACAAAAAAAAGCAAATCATCTTTATATTTTTGATAGAATTTTTTTTTAATCATATTATTTATTACTGCACTTAGATGAAAATCTTCAGATAATTATGTATAAAATTCGAACGCTTCTTAATCGTATATATTTTATAAGACGAGCTTTTATATATTTGCGAGCTTTTATATGTTATAAAACTTACTAAATTTTTAAGATTTTTGGTTAGTCATTGCTTTCTCAAGCTTTTCTTTGATTGTATCGTATAACGTTAAGACGAGAGCACCACCGGTGCCACGAAGAATGTTGGAGAATGCACCTTTGAAGAAAGCTTTGGGACCTTCGCTTTTTGTTATTTTTATCCAACAATCGAGCGTATTTTTATACATTATGTCAGCCTTACTTCGCCCTGATTGCATCATCATTCGTCTTCTAACTGTATCGAAAGGATAGGACACGATACCCGCAAACGTTGTTACTATCTATAAAGGGTGATACTTACATAATAAAAAATTATTGCGGAAAGAAGATCTCTCTTTTTACCTCGGCGATTATAAAATTCATGTACAACGGTGTGCTCTTCGGATCGGATAGCATACCCCTCACAGTATCATAACATCCGAAGTACGTTGCGCGATATATAACAATTCCTTGCACGCTGACATTGAAGCCGCGATAAAGTCCCACAAATCCGTCCGATTTAAAAATCTTCATTATACAGTCGGTTATACCTTTAAATTCTCGTTTATCACCTTTTCCGACATCGACAGCTAATCTAAAAAATTACACTGTCTTATGCAAATAATGCAGACTACCTTAAAATTGAATTGTGCCACAATATTGTTAATTTTTTTTTTTTAGCAAATTGTGTCACTTGCATTACATTAGATTAGTGTAAAAAACTGTATGTGAAATTAACAAAGTTAAATGTAAAAGCATATAAATATATTAAACGATTAAATATCCAATAATAGTATTCACGTTATTTAATATATATGTTATTTAATAGAATACACAATTGCTTAATTGTCAAAGTTTATTATATTATATCATCATATAATATATAACATAATAAATATTTAGATACTTATAGAACGGTCTTTAATGTAAATTATCAATAGTGTAGTACAAGTAATCAAATTTATCATTGTTTTTATTTATAGAAAATTTATATAAAAATATGAATCACATATAATTAAGCTTTGTAATATTCTATGTGCATGTAAAATGTACCTGGTACGGGCCAAGTCAAGCGGATACACAAATAAAAGCGACGTCGCACCAGCAGCACCGCCAGCAGCTAGATTT